TGGATTTCTCTTATTCTATTAAAAATTCTTAGTAGGCTATATCATTAGTCACGAATAACTAGCGATTAAATACTCGCAAAGTACAAAATATTTATAGTACATACTATTTATGGCAACGAAAAGTCTTATTTATTTAGTAAATGGTTTTAGTAGACTTGCGATTAGTCACAGAATAACATAAGAACAGAAGGTTAATAAATAACTTCGCTCTAAAGATAGCAACACAATATTTTATAGTACCAACTAGGCATATTTTAGGCAACGATAAAACAGATGCTTAATTTATTTTAGATTTAAATGGTATTTAATGTACCTGCAATCGTTGCAGTTTTTTTGCAATGTTATTATTACTTTAAGAACATTAGAGTTAAAATAGTACAAAACAAGATACATAAAGAACAAACCCAGTACTGAAAAAAGAATTGAAATAAAGGTACTAATAAATAACGACACTAGTCACCAATATTTAATTTTTTTAATATAACGTAACGTATGTATGAAATATCCATACTAATATTATAAATGCGAAAGTGTGTCTGTCTGTCCTTCGGTCTGTTTGTCTGTATGTTACCTCTTTACGCTTAAACTGCTGATAAACATGGTACAGAGATCATGCGAGTCTTGGGAAAAGACATAGGGTAGGTTTTATCCCTGAAATCATCCTTTAAGGGGGTAAAAAGGGGGTCGAAGTTTGTATGGGGAATCATTAACCGATTAAGATGCAATTTGGTATTAAAATACTTTGATTCTTGAGGAAAGATATAGACTATTTTAAACCGCGGTAACCGACATTTACGCTGGCTAAAAGCTAGTAAAACTATTAAAAAAAAGTTATACACGTAATCAAACAGGAGTGTTAGACTTGTTGGACATTCCGGCAAAATTCCGACATAAACTTTTTAGAGTCAAAAGCATGCAACCCTGACCTGCTAGAGCTATTACTTACTATGCATACGTATAACCACATGGCTTTTCTGCTATTGCCTTTCCTCCTTATCTCACCTTCCTTCCAAATTTCAAATCTAATCCGTAAAGTGACAGATAATGGCGATTGACTCACTGTCAATAAATAATTTTTGTATTGAGCCGTTTCTAGGCGCATATTGTTTAGTTATTCCTATAGATTCAGTCATACTCGTTCTAGGTCAATGATGATGACGTGTGCATGAAATAGCTCACTAAAAGTAATAAAATACCGAGACTAGTTTATCAATATATTTAGTATTTTGTGTCGTAAAATTAGGTATCTCGACCTCTTTCTTGGATGAATAGCCAATACATGTATTATGTTTAATTTCCTTTTTTTCCTTGACAACACTTTTAAAAATATTAGCCTTTAATAAGCCTTCCTTAGAACTGAGGTTTTGGTCTACTATACTACGCTGGCCAGACAGGTTGGTATAGGATTTGTGTCAAGTTTTCCTTCTCTTTGCAATACTGTTGTCCTTCGTAGTTTGCTCACTTAGGCGGCTCTTACTAATAATATAAAACTTTAAAATGATATCACCAACCTCATAACTCCTAAACATCATCATGAATCGTAATAAACTGTATTCTTTTTCCCTGAACTTTTTACCTTTAGGGGTAGTATTTTTTCATCAAATTTAAATCAGACTAAATTTGAATGAGACCAAATATAATAAACACAAAAAATGGGTTTTGTTTTATTAAGTATACATACAGTATAGGTGATCAGAATCTGAAGATTAAAATTCTTTTTATAGACAACAATTGATATTGAAGCTAAAAGTACAGACTTCATGTTTATGCCATACCCTTGTTAAATAGACTTAAATAATAATTCAAGTCATTTAAGTTACTTTGAATCTTGCCTTCCTATAAGATATTGCAAAAAACACGTGGGAACCATGGGAGAAAATCTCTGTTCACATCGGCTATCAATAATTCTAAATTTCTTTCTCGTTATCACTATTCAATAAAAACAAATTCAACAATTACATTTCATTGCTAGGGCCTTGTCATTGAGCAATTTATACATTTTTAAGTAGCACAAATTGGTTAGATGTACATTTATAAAATAAACAATGACAGATGTCTAATACCGTGGTTTGAGGTCATTCACTCTAGTAACAGTTATTTGAATTTATGTTTGAAAATCTAATTTTAGAAACATGTCTAACTGCAATATTGTAAGAATTTAGATCATATATAAGAATTCCTAATACTTATTAGTTTATGGAGGTATGTGACTATCCCCCGCATAATTAGTAGTTATAATTAATACTAATTAATTCCGTTAATGTAATATATTGCCTCAAATAAATAACATAATAGCTAGTCGACAAAATTTCCGTATTTTCTTTTCAAACATCCCATAGCAACTGTCCGAGCTAGAAATATTATAAAAGGTTTAAACACGTTTTATTTTGTTTCAGAAACGTCTTACACACAGTTATCCCCATAGAAATACTACAATGAAGTACTATACGAAACAGACCGATATTACAATACCCATAATGATGCACCTAGACAGAGCACTCGTAACCACACTCTCAAAAGAAGCTAAAAGTAAGATAAGAAATAAATTCAGATTACTAGCAAAAGATATTATAAAAGACACTGAAAGTCTTTTTGCTCGTCAAAGTTTACATCAAAAAATAAAATTTGAACTGCTAGGTGTCAAGATTGTAAGGAATGATACAAAAAAAGTGAGAATGAATAGAAACGTCTCACAGTATTTAAAGAGTTATTGCCAGTGGCAGGGAGATAAGAAGGTAGCTAGGAAAAAATGGTTCTACTCTGTGATGTTTACGGGACTAGATTTATATTATTTGGATCAAAATGGAGCTAGAGTTACAAGTAGCACAGGTGAGCTTAACAATTTTTTAAGTATTAATTTTCCGTGTGGTAATGGATTAAGAATACGGAGTGTCAACACCCCTATTCATCCCATGGGTGATTAAACTACGCAGGACAACATACTGCAAAGAGAAGAAAAACTTGACACAAACCCGATACCAACCCGTCTGGCCAGCGTGGTATAGTAGGCCAAAACCACCTTTCTAAGGAGAGGCCTATGTCCAGAAGTGGACTATTAAATGCTATTGATGATGATGATGAATATATTAATTAAAGACCGTGAAAGAATCACGTTTCGGTACATTTGGGTCGTTTCAACCGAAGTGATACTACAGCCTCATAGTAAACCAATGTTAAAAATTATTTCTTTGCTTTTCATAGATTAAGTAAAGATATAGGAGAACAAATTCAGGAATGGGGCTAATCAGGTACGGTGGTAGCCACTTACCATTACATTGCTGGACTGCTTTTTTTACTTCGATGAGATAAAAAATAGGAACAGTGGATAGTTATTTATAGTGGTTTTTTAATAGACGTGTGGCGACTTCCACATACAGATAAATAAAAACGTACTACAGCGCCATCTAACGAAGAAACACCAAACCACGGAGTGACTGCTAATCTTATATCGCGATATGAATAATTCTCACGCCGCTTATAATATATACAACATGCCAACATCAATCGTTGGGCCACGGCCTGCCAGGCATGATCATCTCACCTGGTTAAAGGTTCCTCACTTTTTGTAAGAGGGACGTAACAATCGATCCTCCACAGACGTCATCAGTAGCTTATAGCCCCGCTAAACACGTTTATGTTTGTTAGTAGTGCTATAAACCACAGGTGTATTATAATATTTGTATTTAATAATAAATTTATGTTCCAGGCCGTGGATACGCAAGGGGCATATGCAGTAATAAAAACAGCTGCACAGTGTTGGAGTGGCATCCTGAGAACATCGCTTTAATATTAACACACGAATTAGCACACAGGTATCATTCGACCTTTAAAACCATATCTTACTCACTCATGAATACAGTGACAGACGCAATTGTGATAGCTTTACAAAGCCATTTGTTTAATTATCAATCATCATCAACAGACTTTAATAGTCTTAGACTTAGAAAGGACCTTTTGGCCTACTATACCACGCTGGCCAGACTAGTTGGTATAGGTTTGTTTCAAGTTTTCCTGCTGTTTCTAGTACCGTTGTCCTGCGTAGTTTTCTCCATTTGCCATATAGACTGCTATTATAACACCCAATGGATGAATAGGAGTGGTGACACTCCGTAGTTTTAGTTTGTCACCACACGGAAGTCATAATAATCACCACACGGACACCACGAACACATTTGGTTGAACAGAAATGTCAATTTCAATATATTAAGGCAAATCATCTTTCATCAACAATTCGCAAAGTTCATCTCGACGTTTTAAAAAATCTGCCACAGCTCTGGGACCCTCTTTTCTTGCCTTCGTTTGGCCAGCTAATCAACTATCACGACCAATCACCAGACTAGTCACCAGTTCATATCGGACTCAAAGAAGACCCCAGCTATAACCGATATGCCTGAGTCATTGCAAAAGGTCGTTGGAATTTCTTTTATTACTCCTGGTCCCTAGCGTACCAACATAGCATCATACATCACACATACACATTTAAATATTGAACTTGAGCTGAAGCAAACGAGTAGACGTGTAATCTAATGGTAAGTGACTACCGTCGCCTATGGTCACCTGTAACTCTAGAGTCATAAGTGCGTTGCCACCCATTGAGTCAATTCCCCCCAGAATAAGGGAGGGGGGAGAGGGTTAGGCTTCTGTAACCTCTCTTTCTCTCGGTGTAAAACAATGAAAGAATTTATGCTAAACGTCGGTTTACTATCGTTGAAGATTTGCCATCTTTACACTATTTTCTTTTTGGAAATCTACAATATTTACGTATTAAGCTCTTCATAATCGCACTTTACTATCTCTACTTAAAAATACTTATTTCTTTTTTAGTCTAGGTATGTCTCATGACGGTCCTTCAGAAAATGAATGCCATGCTCCACAAAATGGACAGCGCTATATAATGGATGCTAAATATAACCCGAGAAATCCAGCCAAAAATTGGTCTCTCTGCAACAAAAGGGAACTTGTTAAATTTCTCAAGTAAGTGCTCATAATAAATATCTGTATATGATGTAGGTTAAAATGATGGGACTTACCCCATATACTTGCAAGGTAGAATCGACAGTATACTGTGCAAAATAAACTAGTCTCAGAGAAAATAGAAGAGAATTGAAACTCAAAGCGGCAAAAAAAAAACAATCAATTTTAAATAAGTTTACTGCACCCAGGAATAGGAAAAATAAAAATAAAACCAACCAGGTACGATTTGAACTCATGTTCAAACTTAACATTGGAGTTAAAGATCCATGTCTCCCATTCATTCCAGCTGCACATGTAGATTTGTGCGCATAACATTTAGAGATTTGTAAATATCCATTGCAAATTCCAGATGTCTTGCTAGACGCCTATGAACTTTATGTGTTCATACCATAACCCAAAACTCCACTTCCAGAGGATGTTATGGTTAAATTTATGCATTTAAAAATAGGGAATGTAAGTTATCCATACAATACTATAAATGTAATTTCGCATGTTGAAAATGTTTGATCTGAAAACATCGATTCTGTGGTTATGGCCCCGTTTTATTTAACGCTCATGTGGTATTTGGACTGAATAAATTCCGTCTATAACCCAAATGCACGCAAAGTTTAAATAAACAAATATTAAATAAAAAACAAACTGTATACAATGTTGATATAGTCCGACGCCTACTGACTAATGTATACGTTTCACATAGTTATTTATTGCTACAGATTGTATTCAAAAGAATAGACTTTTGTTTTCTGAATAATGAGATTCCGATTTACTTACGACTATGAGGTTAGAAAAGTGTGAAAACACAAGAATGATTTATTTGATTATTTAACATATTTTCAGGAGCAAACAAGCCTGGTGTTTACGGCAAGATTCGAAGCTTAAGTTATTCCATAATTATAATTAAGTAAAACAAAAAAAAAATTGAGTTTGTATTAATTATTATGCCAAATATACACAATTTATTATTTAACACATCATTGTTTGTACAATGAAAAAAAAAACTATGTAAGGTCACAAAGTGAAAGTAACCCTAGCGTAAACAATGCATTTAGTAGGAGGAGACTGATCTTAAGATCCTTTAGTATTTAGTACAAGATGTAAAATCTCTATTGTTGTGTGTTCCATGCACACATTCATTCATTCATTGTTAGAACCAATTCCTAATCCGTTTTATGTTAATTAATATGTGTGTAAATTGAACTTGTCAAGAAAAAATTGAAAAACATTTACATAGAGGTTTTATTTTCAATATTAAAATTATTTCGGTCACTAAATAGCGCTTATGATTTTGAATATTAAGGATTCTGTCGCATTTAGTTATTTAAGTATATAATCAAGTAAATTATATAATAAAAATTATATAATATAACTTATTTTAATGTAGGTACGTTATAAATATAGTGGTATATTATTGGCTGACATTAAAAAAAATATGTCAGTCAGTTTTTTAAATTTTCTAGTGTTGGCGATGTGTTAGGTATGTGTTTCGAATGTAGGACACTAAACATTACTTGTAAATGTATATTTACATATATATTTATTTTTTACAAAATATTACCGAAGTATTTTTATTAAGAACACTTAGGTAGGTATTTACATTACGTAATATTGAACATCTGTAAGATTGCTCTGTAAGGATTTAAACTTGCATTTAAATATTGAGACTACAGACTAGTCTTATTACTTTGTATTTAGTTCATAGTTAACTAGACAAAATATTCTTGGTGTTTATGCGTTTTAATTACAACCCAGAGTTTCCAACTATATTTACTAGATGGAGTGAGAATCGCTGTCTGTAACATCGTACTTTAGTTCATCATGGCATAATAAATTCTACATGTTGTAATATCCTACATATCTCATTTTTTTTACATGATGTTGAAGTTATTAAGAAATTAGAACTAATAATAAAGCCAATAGACACGCCTAAGTATATTTTAAGCAAATTGTTTAAAAACTTAATGTTGCTGTTATATTTTAGCAGGCACTTAATCAAGATTAAATGGTTATTGAATGCCTATAAGTTCTTTTCAAGATTTGTCTTCTTCCTATAATTAAGTGGTGTTTGATAAGAACTGTAATAAAGCGAAAATAATACTCAAAAACATCTAGGAGTGATAATTTGTACTTATTCATTCAATAAAGCATTTTATATATACCTAAAATTTTATGGTAAAATATATTTATTATTAGTGGACTGCGATAGGCTGATGATGATGATGATATTTATTATGGATAAAATAAATAATGATAAATTAAACACTGAATGATCTATGTAAAGTTAAATTCTAATAAGCCCCTAAACGTTTAAGTTACTAAAACCAAAAATTAGTCACAAATATTACATATGCAGCGGCTATCAATCAAATGAGAAAAAAACGGTAGGTTTTTTTTTTTTTTCCGTGCGGAAATCCCCTCGGATACCACCTGTCGGTGGCATGTCGGACTCGAACCGACTAAAACCGCACGCCGTCGCCGGGTACTAATAGCCGGGGAACCAGGTATACCCTAGAAAGGAAGTCCCTGGTGCCCCGACATACCTCGGGTCATCTACAGACGAGTAGACGACCCCCCCCCCTCCCGTGTGGGAACCCCATGTTCCCTGTGCTCCCTGGAAGCGAGCGCGCTTCGCAACGCGCTCGCCGCCACCCCGGCCTGCTTCTGCTAGGGTGACAGATGGCCTCACCTGTCACCCCCAGGCCTGCGCTTATGGAGGACGGAGGTCGTTCTGCGACCTCCGGCGCCTAAGTCGCCTGCGGTGCCTGGCCCTTTCCCGGGCCTGGCGGGCCGGGAGAGTCCTAAACCTCTCCCGGTCCCGCTCCGCCGTCTCAACAACGGGACTTCCCCCTATTTGAATATTTTTGTGGCAGACAATATGGTTAAATAAGAAGAAACCGTCTAATATATCCCTTCTACCCGCATGTTTGTCTGTTATTACGGTAAAAAGTAGCCTATGTACTTTATGAAGCATCAAACTATCCAAATGCCAACTTTCATTATATTCGGTTTAGCGGTTATTGATTCCCCATACCAATTTAAAGCCCCCTTTTCACCTCCTTAAAGAATGATTTTTATGATAAAAACTATACTAAGTCCTTTCCTGGGACTCAAACTATCTCTAAACTAAATTTCATTTAAATCGGTTTGACGGTTTAAGCGTGAAGAGGTAATACAGACAGAAAGATAGAGACACTTTCGCATTTATAATATTAGTAGGGCTATTTGAATTATCAACTTGATTGACCAATCGTTTTCCAGGAAGTACAGGTAAGGAGGACACTCAGGCCCGTATTTTAAAAGGTCGTGAATCTAGTCTTAAAACTAATTTTAAGTAGAGATTTTATTAACGGACGTCACTTAAAACAACATTCACCGACCTATACTCAAGTGAATGACATATTATTTTAGAACAACGCTTATGTCCAAAATCTTTACTAAGGTAGAGATTTTGACAGATGAGATCTTTGCTTACGTGAGACGACCAGAAACTAGTCTCAAGCGGTGATTTCTAGGGCATCTTAGGGGAAATGAATGTGTTTAACGATGATTTGGTTCAGAATTATTACGAAAGATTAAAACGAATGAAAGATAACTTTACATCAATTCACTTTAATTGATATTAACCAGGCGCCATCTAGATAGGAAATTGTTCGGGGTGGGTGGCTGCGCGATGTGCTACGGAGAGCGCACGCCCTTCGGGGCAGGAAAGAAACATCCGGGTTCGCACACAGAAGGGGTCATCTATAAATATTGAACATTCTTGCCAATGAACAAGCGTTCACTTACAAAATTCGGCATTTACCTTGATTCTCTCTGTTTCATTATGCTATTTATGCCAGCTATGTCAGGTAAAGCATAAAAATATACCGTTTCTTTGAATTGCGGCTAACATCATACGTTGAACACTGTTAATTACCAACATCGACTTCTCCTTTTGTAGTATTATAGAAAAGATTTATTTCAGGCTTTTTGACATTTCCAGAACTATATTCTATCAGACCGCCATGATGAAGAGTGGACATAAGTAAAACCATTTTATTTTTTATTAACTAGTCACGTTTATTTTAATATCTATTATATTTAATTTTGAACGATCAATAAGCTTGTTAATATGTTAACATTGCTACACTAGACAATAGTATTCTACGTACAAATTCACAAAAAATATGTGTGTAAAAGATTTTTTTTTTTAAATTAGCCGGTAGAATAATGTCGATCTTCCGAAATGTAATAGAGAACAGACTGTAAGTTCAAATCAATACTTAAAGGTAGTTTCAACTGAATAAAACTTAAAACGCGTTCTATAATAAGATCGACGCTTAAGTTTTGATCTGAACTTAAAACTAGGTAATTTCAGATAATCAGAGTTCAACCGATACTTGAGACGTCTTTTAAAATATCGGCCCTAGTCTATAAATTATGTATTTTTTTTAATTAATTAGGTGTTATCAACGATTTATAAACGTTTTAGAAAAGTTGACTCACATTCGATTGTGACTATGACTAGCTTGTTGGTCTAGTTCTAGTGGTTTGTGACCCTGAACGCTAAGCCACGAGGAGTTCGATTCCCACTCAGGACAAATAATTTTGTGATGAGCACGACAATTTGTTCTGTGTCTATTCTCTTTATCTAAAAGTATGTAATTATTTTAATCTATATATACATAGTATGTGTGTATTTAACTATCCCACGACGCCATCTAGTTTCAAACTAAGCAGAGCTTGTACTATGAAAGCTATATTGACTGATAGAATACTTATATACTTTTTTTTGTAAATACATACATATTATATATAGAAAACACCAAAACCCCGAAATAAATATTTGCAGTCCGACCTGGGTATTGAACCCGAGACCACAGCATAGCAGTCGCATACGCTACCACTGCACCACCGAGACAGTCGTTTAGAAATATATAAGTATATTTATTAGCAGAATGCAAGCTCTGTCCGTGAAGTGACGGATTAAGAATAAGGAATGTCACTACCCCTATTCATCCCGTGGGTGTCGTATGAGCCAACTAAGGGCGCAAAACAACGCAGGACACCAGCACTGCAAAAAGAAGGAAAACTTGACACAAACCCTATACCAACCCGTCTGGCCACCGTGGTATAGTAGGCCAAAACCTGCTTTCTAAGGAGAGGCCTATGTCCAGTAGTGGACTATTAAAGGCTGTTGATGTGATGTGTGATGTGAGGCTCTGCCAAGACTGGGACAAGACAGCGGTGTGTGAGACGTGGGAAGTTATTACATGGGTATTATTATTTTTTATAGCCGGTTGAAACGTTTTATGCTTTTATTTTCTTGTTATTTTTTTATTTAAAAAAAAAGACAACTCCCGTATTAAGAATATTTCCTGTGTGGCGGGGGACTCTACAAACATACATTAAACGGACACAAAGAACACCCAGACTCAGAACAACAATTTGTTGATCACACAAAGTGTCAACCCGTGTGGGGTTTGAACCCACACCACTCGGCGTAGTAGGAAGCAGCGTGGCGACCGCTTAAACTACTACGACATCCGTGCAGTCGGCAAATACGTCGTTTTAATGCATAAAAAACTAAAAAAACAATCGTTATATTTAAGCCTGTAGTAAATGAACAGTATTTACTATTTTTATCTCTCATAGTTCTCGCAAAGTTCCACAAAACTCCAAGGTAACCTAGTCAAGAAGTTGAACTGATTTTTTTATTTCAAACGGCCGGCAATTTTGCGTTGTCAACCTTTAGTTCCCACGCCCAAAAACTAGATCAATGTAGGGTTGCGCTAATATTAAAACAAACATAAAAAAAGTGACTGAGTGAATTCATACCGTTATCTTTACATCGCTGAATTTTATAAATAAAAGTCCCCCAAACACGATATGTATATTTGTCTGTTTGAATGCACCACTAGCATG